GGGTAGCCGCGGCCCGGGGGGCGGGCGGGAGAGCCGGATGTGTGCTGTGTGCGGGGTCAAAGCTCAGTGGGAGAGCCCAGTATGCAACGGAGCCCAATAAATCAGCTTAATTAACGAGACGTCTGTGGACATCTCTGCTGTCGTGTGCTGGAAACAACCAGGATGATGCGAGGGCTGGAGCAGCTCTGCTGTGAGGGCAGGCTGAGCGAGTTGGGGCTGTTCAGCCTGGAGAAGAGAAGGCTCCAGGGAGACCTTCTAGTGGCCTCCCAGTACCTGAAGGGGCTCCAGGAAGGCTGGGGAGGGACTTGGGACAGGGGCAGGGAGTGAGAGAACAAGGGGTGATGGCTTGAAAGTGGCAGAGGGGAGATGGAGATGAGATGTGAGGAAGAAATTCTTTGGTGTGAGGGTGGTGAGACACTGTCCCAGGTTGGCCAGAGAAGCTGTGGCTGCTCCTCCCTGGAAGTGTTGAAGGCCAGGTTGGATGAGGCTTTGAGCAACCTGGTCTAGTGGAAGGTGTCCCTGCTGATGGCAGGGGGGTTGGAACTGGGTGATCTTTAAGATCCCTTCCACCCCAAAACCACCTGTGATTCTATGAAATAAGGACTTCTATTTTCCAGTTTATTAAATCTAGCATGTAAGCCTAAGCTGAAGGTGTGTGGTTTTCATTGTTAAACTGCCATGTATAATTGTGAAGTGTTTTTAATAATTTATCATTTCAGGGTCAGGATGGCCAAAGAAGGGCAGCTGTGGATTAATTTGAAAACAAACTATGCTGATGTGGTGGTAGATATTGGGAAAATAGCTTTAGGAGAGAGGTTCAGGAAGACCTCTTGCAATCAGCAAAGGTTGCAAAGGCAAAGAACAGAGCTTTGTAGAGCAGTGTATGCGTTGCTGAATTCAGGAGGAGGAGTAGTGAGGATGGAGAGCGAAGACAACAATTACAGCTTTCAGAAGCATGGCATTGGGCTGGACATAGAGCAGGACCTCAGGACCTGCATCGGTGGCACCAGTACCAGGGAATACTTCACATGGATGCAGCAGCGGAGTCACTTGCTACTTTTCGTTAAAACATGGAGCTGCGGAGATCAGCGGTAAGGTGCAGCCGCAAAGCCGCGTCTCTGTAGCTTGAGCACTGGTTTGTCCTGTAGGTCTTTCACTTCTACTTTCACTATGTCTACAAGTGCTGCTGCTAAATTTTTGAGGGAGAAGGAAAGCCGTGCCAAGGACCCTGATCAGAATGGGCCAAGCGTAAAGAAAGCTCTGCTGGATTTTCATGAGGGAGCAAAGGACACCCCTCTGAACACCGTGGAACACAGCATCCAAGAGGTCGCTGCTGAGGTTTTAAAGAGAGACAAACTGATGGCTGGGGAGGTCCTGGAGTTTGGGGAGACAACAAATATTGAATTTAAGAACTTCTCTACAAAGAATATGTTGCAATACGTTAAAAAAACCCTTCCAAACTATGTCTCTGCCTTTGCAAACACTGAGGGTGGTTATTTATTTTTTGGAGTGAATGACAATCGTCAAGTCATTGGAAGCCATAGTGAAGTGAAGAAAGAAGATTTAGAAAAAACAGTAGCTGAGACAGTGGGCTCGATGCCCGTCCATCACTTCTGCGGCTCTGGGGCTGCCGTGCAGTTTCAGACTTACATCCTGAGCGTTTATGACAAAGCAGGTGACTCGCGGGGCTATGTCTGCGCAGTGCGAGTGGAACCGTTCTGCTGCGCTGTTTTCCATGATAACCCTGAATCCTGGATGGTGACAGGTGACACGATTGAAAGACTGAGCGTCAGGAAATGGACGGAGCTCATGACAGCTGCAGACCCAGGTAAAATCTGCATTTGTATTAGTGCCAACTTCCTTTCTGCCTTTGTTTGTAAGCTTTCAGGAGGAAAGACCAACTTCTCCTGTTCTGTGTTCTTACCAAACCTAGAAAAGGGCCTTTGGTCCTTGGCACAGTCACAGGCACTGGGGGTGACAGTACAGTCACTGGCCCCCAACAGCAAACCCTTCTGTGAAGCGTGACTCTCTG